GCTCAAGAGTGCTCCTTGTCATATTTCAGCCTGCATGTTTGATACTTCTGATCCAGTCCAAATGTATCATTTTACAGATGAGGAAACTGAGACCCAGAGAAGCTATGTAAGTTGCCCAACGTCACACAGGTGGTGTGTCTGGCCAAGCCAGAAATTGAACTCGGGTACTGTGACTCCACATTCAGCACTCTGTTCTTTGCACATACTCCCTCTCATAAAACTCACAACTGCATGACTTGAGTTACAATTATGTTTGTGTCACTGACTGCTTTATTGAACTTCTGACACTGTACTTGTGTTAAATATTGACTTTTAAAATACTTTGAATTTCTAGCATACTTAATGCTTTTCAAATAATTTCCCTTACATACATTATTTCAACTAGTTAGGGAAATTAGGGATAATGTCACCAGGCAGTCTCTCCTACTGGGATATTATTGCGGTATTGTTGTTTATCCTTTGTTTTTGAAGAGGACCAATGATGTCATGGGGTTGATGTCTTGACTTGCACATGAAATGGATTTAAGTGAGGCAGAGTGGCATGAAGTCTTCAGCCTCATTCTCTCTTTTAGAATCAGTGAAATCCAGTGGCAAGACAAAAATCGTAACAAGCTGCTGAAGCAAGTTCTTATACCCAGTTGGATAATTGAGGTCGTATATACCTTTGGAGGGAGTACTCAACGGCTTTCCATGGTTCCCTGGGTAAGAAGTGAGAGGACTCGTGTAGGGTCTCTGGTGTACCCAGTAGGGTCTTAGTAGCCACTTGGTAAGTCACTAACTAAACAACAAGGTGAATTTCTTCTTAGTATAAACCAAGTCTGAGAACAACACGACGGAATCAGACAGAGAGCGGGGGAGAATCAGGAAATAGCTTTTGGTGCATATTGAATTACTTGAGAATAGAGGGAGGTAGAGGTGAATAATAAAGTGTGTTGTAAAAACAAATGGTATTATTACTACTGATGTAAGTATTTTTGCTAAAGGGATTTCTTTTTTACCTGATTTTAAAAGAATGGACTAAATTTAAAAAATAATAATGTGTGTAAATCAAATCCTTTTTGTACTTTACTAGTGCCAAACACTGAGAAAATTTCAGGATCAAGAGAATCTCCATTTCTTGAAGGTTCAACCTCATCTCACTTAGCTTTCCAAAACTGGTCTATTAACTTAAATGGCTCATGCAAGCCTCTTCAAATTTTGTGACTAATTTGAAGGAAATCAAACTCTTCTAAGTACTCTTTTAACTTATTCCCAATCATTTTATTTGACAAGTACTTCTGAAAAGAAGTTGAATGGCAAAGTGGATAGGATATTGGACTTGGAATATAGAATCATAGGATCAGACCTGAAAGGGATCTTAGATATCTCAACACAGGAAACTGAGACCAAAAAGAGATTAAGTGACTTGTCCAAGGTTGCATGGGTAGCTAGTGGTAGAGCCATGCTTTGAACCCAGTTGCTCTGACTCTAGACCCAGTCCTTATTCCATTGCACCACATAGGAGAGAGCTCAGTTTGGATTTTCTTTCCAGCACTTAGTATTTATAGGACTATGAGTAACTTAACCTTTCTGAATCGTGTTTTCTATGTGCCAAGTGGGGATAATAAATATATTTTCACCCCAAGGGAAATTATAAAGAAAGTGCTTTGGGAGTCTTAACAGGTTAGAGAAATGGGAGCTACTATCAGTGTTATCTAATTATCATTTATCATTTTTGTTGTGATGGAATTCAGAATGAACAGTTAACCTATCGGTACAAGCTGTACAATGTTTAGAGCTGATGAATAGGAAAATTATAATGGGTGTGCCAAAAGTCTTAGTGCATTTTTAAAGTTACTAAGCTTTAAAAATGTACTAAGACTTTTACAGCACCTTGTATATTTATTATTCATTTTTTGTGGGGGGTGGAGAATAGTCAAGAATTTATGATTTTCTCCATGTAGATAACCCCCAGGCTGGCATGGATTGCAATCTCATCCATGCTGCCTCTACAGAGAAATGTCAATGTTTATCCAGGAACTATTGAACCAAATGGGCTACTGTCCCAAGACAAATGTGTTATCTCACATCAGCCTGAAACCACTCTAGCTTACCCAGGGGGAAGGGAATGGGGACAGTTTGGGAATGATCTGAGCTCTTCTCTTGATTTGCAGAAGACAAGCCTCTTATTTGTAATTTCTCCTATGACTGGTCCCATTCATGGGCACAATTAAATATCTAGATTAAAAAGTAAAAAAAAAAGTCAGTCTATTATCCATACATTCTTAAATAACTTTGGATCTTCAGAATAGCATAAGCATTTAAATGTGCAGGTACCATAAAGATACAGATGAACAAATTAATCATGTCATAGGATCATAGATCTGGAGCTTGAAGTGAGGTCAAAAGTCATGTAGTCTAACGTTCTCATTTTACAGAAAAGGAAAATGAGGCACAGGATGTTTAAGTGTCTTGCCAAAGGTTATTCAGATAGTAAGAATTAGAGGCAGCATTTAAACTCAGGTTGTCTCTAAATCTAGTGTTTTCCACATCACCATAAAAAAGATAGAATCAATTTAATGTGTCATGGTTGAAAACTGCATTTGAAAATTGGTGTAATCCCTCTGCATTCCGAGAGAGATCTAAATCCATAAAAAGCCCGTAAATACTAAATTTTGCATTTAGTTCTTAGAACTGTCTTAAAAGATAGTGGTGATTCATGTAACTAGAGAGCTTCTTATTGATTATATGATTGAGGAAGCTCAAAAGCCTGTTATTCTTTCTAAAGTCAATTGTAATTTAAGCTCATTATCTCTTTTCCAGAGAGTCTCTTTCAAATAGCAACAAAATAAAAATAAAAATACTCCACTGAAAAGCTTAGATTGTCTGTTTCTTGTAGCTTACATCATAACTTTGTAATTAAGGGGACCAAACCATGAAATACCAAGTGTCATGGACCTGTTGAAGAAGAACCCAATTTTACTACTGTTATTGATAGAGACCCATGTTACTTTAACAAAGTGTCTATTCCTTAGTTCATTTATAATTCAGGATGTAATGCTTGTTGATTTGAGCATTAACCCATGTCTTTATAATATCATTTTAGATTACTCAAATGAAATAGCATTGTTGATCATAGCATTGATACAATTTGGAATAGCAAAATCCCCTCCTCCCCATATGAGGTTTAAAAGGGCTACACATAGCACCAGAATATCCAACCTCGGCCATTACTTTGGCAGAGAAACCAACTAATCGAGGAGAAATTATATTTCTGACAACTTTTGAAAGTAGTTCTATTTGCTAAAGATCAGTGAGTAATACAGATATAAAGACATAATCTAGTCTTCCTAGGATGATTTTTCAGGAGACACGATAGAGATTTAGCTGTGATTCATTACAGTGCACAATTAGGCAGGTATTTATTACCAGTATTTGAATAACTGAATAAAAGTAAAATATACCAGGCTTCTTTCAAGATTATTGGTGACCACGTGTAAGTCACCGCCCCTGTCTCCACCTCAGTTTCCTTACTTGCAAAATAAAGGAGTTAGACTAGATGATCTCCAGGGTCCTATTCAGCTCTATGTCTATGATTCAGTTTCTGTTGCACTATCTGATACTGTTGTACAATATTTCAAATGCATACACAATTGGCATTTGATTTTGGAAAATCCTTCTTTAACAACACACAGAATAACAATTGTATTCATGTAAGATCACACAGTGATTTCAATTTTCATATAACATTTGTGGTCAAGTAAAGGCATCCTGTCCTTTGAATTAATTTGATATATTGAATGTTGAAACTTGCAAATGCGTTGAAGAAACCATTTTCTCCCTTGTAAAAGACCAATGACTTTCATAAAGGAGAATCACACTCAGTTGTGTTAAAATGTTTTTTCTGTTTATAGCGTGTTTAAAAAGTAAAAACTATCTTTTGCAAGCTTAGCAAATATCATCTAAAGATTTCCTTGCACCGTACTCTTTCTCTCTTTTCTTTTCTGCTAGCTGCGTGCTGTAGCATCGGGGGGTCCATATTTCAGTCCTTTCAAGTTCAGAGAGAATGGGTTTCAAGAATTTGGCATTTAGTTACCTCAGCATGGCACTGTCAAAATGGCTGATGGTCTGCTCTCCAGACTTTCTGCCTTTCAGTGGGCTTGTGCTCTCTGTTGAGTAATTATCACTGCTGAAGATGCCAAAGCCTAACCGGCTATTATAATAGGAAATTGTTTGCTAAGACTTAGAAGGGGAGTTGAAAACTGTCATCATACACAATCGCTCCATTTTCTGAGAACAAATAGAGTGTGCAATGGTTGTTTCATGTTTCTTAATTAGAAAATTTTTACTGAACATATCTCACTTTGGTTAATAAACTTTCTCATGGAAGTTATACAATTGTTTGGATAATCATCTTTCCTTTTCTACCTGGTCAAGGGAAATCCATTGTATAGCTCCCCTCTTTTTCTCAGTCAAGTCAGCATTGTTCTTTTGTGTCCTTTTGAACTGTTATTTTGTACTTAATCTGGGTAAATATTCCTTACTGAAATATTCTTCATGGTCTATACAAATACACATAGATATGTGTAGAATTTGGAGTCCTTTTGTCCCAAGGAAGAATTAGTATCTTTCTATTTAGACTTTGGAGCATATAAGTCCATCGTTTGTTGTTTCAAATTTTTCAGAGAAATGATCATTATTTTCAGTCTTCTAATCACAGCAACAGCTCCCTAACAATCTTTGGGAAGATAACCATTGAGGCTTTGTATTACACATATTATTTGTATATATCTACTTACATACATTATAATTTGGTTTGTAAAGGTTTAAGTTTTGATGGCAAATAGACCTCTACGACAGGATGACAGTGTAGATAGAAACACTTTACATTTCTCCAGAGTTTGTTAACCACAAAATATAAAACTTAAAAATACAGAAAGCTGGGTTATATCTAGCATGTGTTTACTGTTCAATGAAGCTGGGTCTTTTTTTGTAGTATTCTCTTACCAGATTTTGAATATACATAGTAAGAAAAGACCATAAATCTGTAACAAATACAATCTGACAATATATATCTTATGGAATTAAATATACATTATATTCAGTTAGATCTCAGAATAGTAGTTACAAGCAATACCTAATTTTAAAAATACAGTACTAGAGTTCTCTACCCTTGCTGCTAAGAAAGCAAAAGGTGACCTAAAATTGCCCCATTCTATTAATTAATGCATAATAAAATTCATGGAAACACCAAGAGTAAAAAGCCAATTGCTTCTACAACCTGAATACAGTATAAATATAGTAGAATAACTTGCTATTTTTTTTTCAGAAAAAAAGTTTTGCATTTGTTATAAACTGGAAGTCCAATTCAAACAACTCTGCAATATGTATATAGTATAGGGCATGAGGATGTTAATGTCGATGAGAAGGGTTTGTCTTAAGTGGCAAAATCCTTGAACTGATGCAGTTTGATCTATAGACTAATAAGGGGTGTGTTAATCTCTGGAAAAGCTTGAAGCCAAAGACTCACTCCATCCCTGACCCTAAGAAGGTATTTAAAAGCCACAGACTTTTTTTTTCTCCTTAGAGTGTAAAAGTCTGCAGATGGACCCAGCAGCATGTGGAGAAGCCTTCATTTTTACACATAGAGAACTCCCAGGGCTATCAATGGAAGGGCTGAACGTGTAAAGTGCACATGATTGGCAGGGGGTCAGGCCCAGAGAAAGAAGGTATATAGTTGCCTTGGTAAAGAATTGACACCACTTGCTCGTAGCTTCTTTCTTGACAGGCATGATTATTGGTGCTCTCTTTGACTTTCATCAGATGCTGTAACCCTGAAGCACAGCTCCAACTCTACATGATGGCCAGACCACCGGTCCAAGTGTTTTCCTCTCAATGACCTAAAAGGAAGAAAAAAGGCAAACCTGAATTAAGAGAAATGAGCCATTTCTCTCCTCCATTGACTAAAATATGCTCAGACTATCCACAAAGGCACAGTCATTGGGAATTTCATCATTCAGGCACGCAGTTTCTAGGTGTGAAACAGGCGTTGGAGATCTGTGAGAGAAATATTTTGAATGAACAATGGAATGAGAGAAAAGATGCTATGAATAGCACTAGGTTGGAAACCTGAAAATGTGGAACATTTAGACTTTCTGTTTTAACTCAACTTGATTCAAGAAATATTATTGAATGTCTCCTGTGAGTCAAGGAGCTGTGGGAGGAAGTACCGAGTCAGAAATGAAAAGTGTCCCTGACCCTCAAGGGAATGACAATACACTTAGAGATTAAGAATATAATGGGATAAAGAAATTTAGGAAAATCTGAGAAGGGAAAGGGCACCAGTGACTAGGGAGAATCAGAGAAGGCTTTCTTAGGTGATATAAAAGCTGAGCATTGTAGGAAGATATACATTCTAAGAGCTTTAGCTATGGAGAGTGTATATTCCAGGTAGGGTTTCATATGTAATCATTTCCCCTTATTTTTCTTTGTATGGGGAAGCTTTCATACTTGTTGGTGTTTGTTAAGTTCATAATAGTAAAAACAACATACTAGGGTGTTATCAGTACTTCAGCGTTAATTTTTTTCAACCAGCTTAAAGAAATAACAGAGCTTTTCAGAGGGGAGATAGTGAAGGGTTAAGGCTGAAGCACATCACAGCGATCAGGCAGAGCAAGTATTCCTAAACTGTCACCATGGAGTGGTTTTAGCAGCTTGAGTAGCTTTGAGGTCTAAATTTGGACCGTATTTGAAGGAATGGGGTTTCAATTCCAGGGGAGATGGAAGGGTGCTGCAGAGAAATTCCATGTATAGTACAACATCATCTAATCTTATGGGCAGATGAACAAGTCACATGTGCATGCTCTCAAGGTTTTTGCTGTCATGGATATATGATAGTCCATCTCCTTGCTCCATGTAAAGGCTGTCTCCCACAACTAGGATTCCCTCTCTCCTTAGTTCCTGCTCTTAGCATACCTTGTTTCCTTCAACATTCACTTCAATGGCCACCTTCCTCCAAAGTCTTCTCTGATCCCATTTCCCTCCCCATGCTAGTGTCTTCATTTCCTCTAATTAACCTTGCATTTATTTTGTATGCATTTTCAATATGCTGGCATAGTCACGTGTTACTTCTGTTGCTATAATATAAGCTACTTGAGGACAGGGGTTATCTCATCTTTCTCTTTGTATCCTTAGTGGCTACGAATATGCCTGGCACATAATAAGTGATTGACTGATGGAGAAATTTCATTTTTGAGGGATTTTATCCCCTGAATGTATTTGCATGATTCCACACCCATAAAAATCAACTACACAAGTCAAATCAAGTCAACCAGCATTTATTAAGCGCATTAAGGACAGGGCCTGGCACTGTGCTAACTTGCTGACACTTGAAATTCCACTAAAAATAGAAATGTAAAGAAGATTTAAAGATCTGAGTGGGTTGGAAACTCAATACAAGTCAACTGAGCAACATGAAGTGTGAAAAATGAATGAAATTGTATCTGAGTGGATTGTAAGCTCAATGCAAGTCAACTGAGAGACACAACAGTGAGAAAAGTCAATGAAATTTCAGGCTACATTAATATATAGATTTGTGATCTCTGTAATGAGGAGGAGTGATAACCTCCCAGAAGTTTTGGTCTAAGTTACAAAGAGGGTGAATGGAACAGTATGGAGTGCTTGAATTTGAAAGAAATGTGTGGGGTGGTCCAAAAAAGCCTGAGCTTAAAAGGGACACAGTCAGTGTTGAAGTATTTTATGGGCTACCACATGAAGTTAAATAGACATAATTGGCCCCAGTGAGAAATACTAGGAGCCATGGGTATAAGCTAAAACCAAACCAAACCAAAACAAAAGAGATTTCATTTTGATATAAGAGGGGGAAAACAGCTTTCTAACAATTTGGGCTAGCCAAGAAGTAGTCATTTTCCTCTTACTAGAGGTCTTCAAGGGGAGATTGGATGGTCACTGCTCAGGGATGTTATATAAGGGATTCCTATTTGAGGTATAGATTGGAGCAAATACCCCTGAGGTCTCTTCCAACTTAGACATTCTGAGGGTTTGTTTTTTTTTTTGGTTTTGGTTTTGTTGTTGGTTTTTTATACTCTGTGAAGAAGACAGAGATAATGCCACTGGGGGAATTTTCCTCTGGTTACTGATTCCAAAGGTATCTTGGATACATTGACGCTTAATTGGAATTTCCTTTGCAGAAGAGAATTTCAAAAAGCAGTGGATGGTCTTTCATGCCTTTGGCTTCCTAAATAAAACCACACTGACCTTCAAATAAGAGACTTTATGCCTACTTAAAGCCGTGCCTTTCCTGGAATTCATGAATCATTTGCGAATATCCACCTGTGATTGGTGTACAAATTAGAAGTACTTTCTAGTGATGCTTATCAATTGATGACAATGTGGTAAATGTGGCCTGGAAGGAGATGGGGCTTGACTTCAGTACTGGTGTTAATCATAGTCCTCTGAGAATTATTTCCATTAAATATTAAGAATCTAATTATGGATGATTGCCATAGAGTTAAACCATGTTAAACTTATAACCAAGTAGTTGCCAGCCTCAGATGGAAAAAAAAAAGCTGATGCTATCCTGAGTGATTGATGATGCTAATTCTGGCATTGGCATTTGTATGCTATTGTGGCTGAGAGGATACAGCAGTGGCTCCTATCTTCTGCCCCACAGTATGGGCTCTGCTGAGGTTTCTGACTGTCGCTGCTGGATTGAAGAACTTAATGCCGTTTGCAATTCAGTATTTTCTCATAATTGGCTCGACTTACCAAGTGCAACCTCACCGACACCTGCCTTCATTCCCCATAAGACTCCAGCTAGGCCAAATATTTGGAGTTAGGAAAGACATCTAGATATGCATAAGGTGCATTATTAAACTAAAGGAAAGGAAACTTGACTGTGTGTTTCTGTGTGTTTCCTTCTTACAGTATTGCTAGTGGATAGGAAGAGCATGAGAGAATATAAAAAAAGCTGATGTTTGGGGAGTAATGGTTGGGAAGTAAGAGAGAGGCAGCAGACAGAAGGAAAAGAAAAAGGACCAGCTCCTGAAGCCATTTAGTCTAACACTATTACTGTAGAGTTGGGGAAACTGAGGCCCAGGGAGGATATGTGATTTGAGCAAAGGTCCACAGGTTAGTAAGCATAAGAGGCAAGATTTGAACCTGAGGCTACCATGCCTTCCACTGTACTATACTGTAAGATAAATAGGGAAGAAAAGGGGCACAGGTGGAAAGTGCTAGCTGACAATCTGGCAGTCCAACACTACGTCATTATGGAGCAGTGTTATGTATAGAGAAGCGGATTATGAGGGTGGCCAGGAGATTGCCCAGATCAATTAGAGAAGCTTAGGCTAGGAGCAGGGTAATCAAAGCAGCTAGGAAGGGTGTCTCTGGAAGCCAGAATAACTAGGTTGTTAGGCTATAGAACGTCGGACGTGGCAGGGGTGGCTGGGAAGTGCATCAAGCGCATTAAGTCCTTAGGTTTTGGAAGGCTGCAATGAAGAAGAGAGACAAGACTATATGCTTCAGAGGGTATTCCTGGGGCAATGGGTCGATATAAAAAAAAAACAACTTCCTAATAATTAGAGACATATAAAAAATAGGGAGGCGATACTCTCCCCTATCCATGAAGATTTTCAAAGATAGATATCATGATCATTTTTAGGTATAGTTCTAATTTATTTTGTATTTATATACCCATTTCATCCCTATCTGTCTACTCTCCCCCTCCCTAGAACATAAACTCCTTCATGGTAGGAAATGTTTGTGTTTGTTTATACTGAGCCCCAGCACAAAGCCTTATAAATTGTAGATGATTGATAAATAATACTTGTTGGATTGAATTGGATTAATGAAAATATAAAAGGTAGTTTCTATTAGAACAGAGGTATTTGGGGCCCTCTCTGCTCAACTGAGCCTCAGAAATTATAGTATAGGCTGGAAGGGGCCTCAGAGACCACGTAGGAGAAATTGAGTGTAACTATGAACCTAAATGAATCTATCTTGGTTTGAAATTATTGCAGCAATTCTGTACAGTGTACCTGAAGAAACATCTTGTACCTTTTATCCTTTTTCTTTGCTGCAGTTAATTGTCTGTACCATGTGTAACAAGCCCTGGCAAAGGGCTGGCTGGCCACAAAGCACTCTGCAATTTGTAGCTTTTTCAAGTTCGGAAAATCATCCCTCTAAAATGGTAGAGGATGGGCATGGGGAGTGGAGTTTTTCATGCATGGCTCTAGTGGGTGGTGTGAAAACTTTAGATGAGAATAAGAAGAGAAGGGAAAGGTGGGGGTCCTCTCAGGTCCACAGGGGCCTGTAATATCTGCAGTTCCCTTCAGAAAGACATGAGAGATGATCTCCATCTCATTGGACAAGCTGAGAGATGCATAAGACTGAGTGTGTTTTATTGCACACATTTGCTCACTCAGCAGCGGGCACAGAAACAAAGCTAAGGAGAGAGGAATGCTGGACAGGCCCTACCCCGTTCTACCTTCCTTCTTTTTATGGTTTTATTAAATGTATCCTGGCAAAGAACATGATTGCTGGATTTAATATTATCTCTCATCCACACTGTGGTCTACACCGTCCTTGGGTTGCCAGATGCCCCTTTGTTTGCAGCATGGGGGTGCAACGGGACCAAACCCCCACGAGCTGGGAGTTCATCACCATCCTGTCGTCAGATGCCTATGTTCTCGACTTGGGGACATAAGCGTGAGTCATTCATAACTAGTGTTCTATGTGCAGAATTACTATGAACTAGGTCATAAATCTACCTTATAGTAGATATTTTACCGTATTGTGGAAAGAAATTAGTTCTATAACACATGTGTCATGAGTGGCCCAAGTTATATATGTATCAGGCCAAGTTAATATATGTTTTAGA